GGGTCGGGTTCGCGGGTTGGGTCAACTTTTTGCCAGGTCTACCCCATCCAAAAATGCTCTCTATTTTCCTCGTCTTACCCAAAAAAAAAAACTCTAGAGACCAAAGGGTTCATTAGAGGAGGGCCTCACCTTTCTCCCATTTCTCCCCATCATAGCTTTCCATAGATACCCCTTGTCATCACTTGTCTTCAGTTCAGCCAAACCAAAAACATCTTATTGCTGTCTGAAAAGAATTGCCCCAAGTTAGTTGGATTTCCGAAGCACTTGGTATCTGTCGTTTCAACACACAAAGGCTATAAGAGGTAAAATCTTTTACCTCACTCTCTCCATTTTGATTGAAACTCCATTATTACTCGAGCAAGTGGTTATGTAGCCCTTTTCTTAGATTTCGTTTTTTTATCCGCACATATCTACCCAACCCCTAAACTTGTGGAAATTGGGTACTTTTTGGTATTTGGGGGTAGTTGTCATGCTCTTTCAGTCCTTCAGGCCCATCGACTGAGTCCGAAGGTGGGGATCCTGAAAAAGGTTTGAGGGCTTAATTTCCCACCTTTTTGCTCAAGTCCCTGCATCAAAAAAAAGGTCGGTTTAGAAGAGATTGAAGGAGTAATTTTAGCTTCAATGCCCTCCCAAGTTGCCAGAAAATACGAGTTCTCAATATGGTCTTTTTTTTTTTTTTAAAACGATTTCAATGGTGACCCCATTAATTAAACACAGTGCATTATAGTGAAACAGCCCTTTGGGTGTAGCAGCCAAATCATCTTATCACAAGACTGCACATTAGGGATGATGATAGGTTTAAATTTATTAGGGAACTAAAGATCGAATATTTTCCTCAGGAGACCACACAAGGCCCAGGAAATACCTCCTTGTCCATTTGAAAATTTCATGAGGTGGCTTTAACTTCTATCCAATGATTGAATTATCGATATGGTATGTCTGATATGGGATGTATTGTATTGGTATCGGACCTCAGTTTGACAATAAGTACATCAATATAATAAGCGCTCTCAGTGTATTCAAACCTAAGACCCCAAGTCGCCTAGCACCCAAGAGCAATGCATCTTGAACCACCAAGCCAACATTTATTTCATGTCAATAAATCAAATAAATTAACTTTTATTATGTAATATTTACATAAAATCTAATTAACCAGCACACACTTATCTTTAACAACTTCAATTACAAATTAAAAAGAATAATATTAAAATTAATATTTTATAAACCAACAAAATAAATAATCTATCAAATCCATATTTATATAAAAATTTGATTTTTATTCAAAGAAATTTAAAAATACTAATAATAGAATAATTATTTTAATACTTAAAATTTATAAATTTGTACATGATATATATCTTAAAATTTTTATAAATTAATAATTAATATTTTAAATTTCATTAAATAACTATGTATTTATTATTTAAAAAATAGAAATGTTATTTATAAAATATTTAAAACTTTAATATAAATTGAATTTATCAAATCCACTAATTTGTACATGATATATTAAAAAAATAATTTCTTATTTTAGAAATTTATACAAATCAAAATATGAATAATGAAATAATTATTGTAGTAATTAAAGTTTATGGATTTTCATATAATATGTATGTTTGAAATTTAAATAGATTTGATATATTTTAAGTCAGGATTATATATTTTTATAAATTATCAAATAAAATGTTGATTTGCATTTCATAATGACATATTTATTGTTTACAAAAATGATAATATTGTTTTTCAAAATTTTGAGAATTATTTTTTAGTTGACATTTTGTTAATGTTAAAAATTATAAGTAGTAAAATAGAAAAAATGATATAATAATTGAAATAGAATAATTGCATATGTTTTGTGCCTTGTGATGAGTGCAGATTTGGCCCTCCACTGGCATCATGATACATGGCTATTAGTACAACTGGACTACAGCCTAGCATCACCTAGGCGACAACTTACCTTAGCCAAAATGGGGTCCACCTGGCAACTTGCCTCTCTAGAAGCTTGCTAGTTGTCTCCGAACCTTTCGGGATCACGCCGCGTAATCGTAGGCCTTATCCTCATCCCATTCGAATCGGAGGGAAATGGTAAGCCTTTATTAACTGCCACGTTATCCTCCTTCTAAAGCGGAACAGACCCCTACATCGTGGGCTGAGGATTCCGGGAGCATTTCGCGAGACCCACGACAGCCCAACTATATAAGGGCATCAACCCTTGAGACCCAAGGAGATGCGCAATTTAGTTCTCGTTGCTTTCCAGCTCTCTCACATTTAGCTATCTTAAAAATCACTGATTCGTTGACTTAAGCATCGGAGTGCCCATCCCAGGTAAAGCAACTCGGGCACTCTGACACTATTTCCTTGCAGGTCGCATCAGAGCCACCTCTCCAGCTCATCACTACTCAGTTAGGCATCAAAGCTACCTCTCCGATTTGTCACCATTCAGTTAGGCATCAGAGCCACCTCTGTAACTCGTCAGCACTCACTTTGGCATCAAAGCTACCTCTCCTGTTCGTCACCATTCAGCTAGGCATCAGAGCCACCTCTTTAGCTCGTCACCACTCAGTTAGGCATTAGAGCCACTTCTCCAGCTCGTCACCACTCAGTTAGGCATCAGAGCCACCTCTCCAGCTCGTCACCATTTAGCTAGGCATCAGAGCCACCTCTCTAGCTTGTCACCACTCAATTAGGCATCAGAACTACCTTTCCAGCTCGTCACCATTCAACAAGGCGTCCAAGCCACTTTTCAAGTAGGAACCATTCATCTAGGCATCCAAGCCACATTCTAGGTAGGGATTATTCAGCCAGACATCTGAGTCACCTGCTAACCGGGAATTGCCAAAATGTACATTTTCATAACTCTCACTCTCCATATTTTGTATAGACATTAATGTTTACCAAACCCTTAACATCACAATGCAACAATGAGTTGAAATCAGCCCCCCACAAGATAATTTCCCATAACGTCCCACAACACATCCCCTCCGTGTATTGGAAATGTCTCCCGATGATGCCTCATCATTTTTGGGGATGTGCTGTAGGATGTTGTGGGGGGCTGATTTGAACTCTGCGACGATATATGTCATCACATATCTTTACTGTTATATGAATATGAAGTTATTGATAGCTGATATATAAAATAACATGTTGCATATGCCATATTGCTATGCAAACTTTTATTCGAATAGAAGACATCTGCTACGTACTGGCATTGCATTTTGTCAAATAATAAAGTATATTCAATTTCTAAAGCCTCATCAGGCATGTGGCAGGGGTCGATGAACTGATTCCAGTTTGCTGATTCTAGAGATGTGGAGAACTACTAGGCTCATAACTCAATTAAGCGTTTGGGCTAGCAATGCCTAATTGATTTGGCTTTAATCTAGTCATAAAGGATTAATTTCCGTCACAGTCGACATCCTTTAAGAGCTAGTTTTTGATTGTCACGATATTTCTTCTCTTCGTACAAAGGAATCAACTTTGAACTCTTCTCCACACAACCACCGAATTGATAATGCAGTTTTACCTCTGAGAGAAAATTTACATTAATGTATCTTGGGTCTTGGGAATGCAAAGTCATGATGTAGGGATCCTTTGCATGAATAAATTTCTAATTGAAAGCATTCCATTGAAGCATTTCGGGGCAATACTGATTTTCCATTAGCGGCTTTAACTTTTAGTACCTGGATATTAATTTCTGGTAAAAGAACACCATCACCACATTCGCTGCTCTATCTTTGAGCTAGGAATCAAGCCTCTATTGAATTTAGAGCTGTCAATGGGTTAGTTTTGGTTTGGAACAGGTCACCCGGTTCCTAACCAATCATTAATTGGCTCTGTTTTATACAATAAACCAGAAATCCAACCGACATTCGGGTTAATCAGGCCTGACCTGATTAGACCCGATTATGCTTGAAGTCTAGAACTATTATACAGAAAATACCAAATTGTCTCTGTGTTGATAAAATAAATGTTTTTAACCAAAACGACATAAATCATAGAATTTCGATTCAGTCATTTTTGGTTCTATTGGACACACTGATCCACTGACAGCTCTAATTGAACGAAAGAAAAAGAAAAAGAAAACGAAACAAGAGAACTGTTAAGTGTACAATTTCTTTTCCTAAAGCCATGCAAAATGATGGTAGACCACTTTTTTTCTAGAATAATGTACACAGTACTTCAGTTTGATGGACCAATTGAAACAGATGGAGCATTATATCATTATCATCTCTTTTCTCGACGAACAGACTGGAACACAGGGACCATTATTTGTGCAAGAAAAGAAGTTAAATTTGCTTTTTCAAAAAGCTAAATGAAACCAACAAGAAATTTTCTCGTTATTTGGAAAAAGAAAGGAATCCGGACTCATCATTTTGAGCAGATGTATCCCATTCAACCAAAAACTTTGCACGCATTGAAAGAATGGGATTCAGCCACACATTAAGAACATCTCCCCCATGAATTTAACCTATACTGGAGAATGGAGGTATTCTTAATGCGTGGCTGGATGCCGTGTGCCTGAACAGATTTTCTGCTTACAGGAAATCTGGGTTCCATTTGGACAGATCCCATAAGAGAGGACCTATACAAATTTACAGAGAGCTCTCTCTATAAATATGCCCACAGCGAATATGAGTTCCTACTAAATAATGACTATTGTATTGCTGCAAGCTTTATTTGTGGGTTATACAAGCAAAAAGAAAGTAACACAGAGAAAAAAAAAAGAAATGAACAGAGTATCTGCACAACTTTTCCTTTATGAAATTTAAATGTAGTCATTACTTTAGCTAAATTATGTTATTCTTTGCCATTTACCAAAAGAAAAAGTTATTCATTGCATAAGAACAGACAAATAACTATATTCTTTGCTCTATAGTAGAGCCATTACTGGACTTGTGAGGTTAAAGTAAAGATAAAATAAAAGCAGACATATTCTCATTGCATGCATTTTGAAATTTGAGTTGCCTCTTAGCAACTAAGAGAAATCTTCCAATCCTTCGAGTTTCATGTGGGCTAGGCTATATATAGGCATATAGCATAGCCTTATACTATTGTCACTTGTCAGCTTTGATTTTTTCATTGCCTTCATTCTGCAATTCTGGGTTTTCTGCATTTCGGAAACCTTTATACAACGCTGCTTCATCTAAGACAGACAAGATAAAGCAGTACGTGGAAGGTGGTCGAGTAATCAGAGTGGCACAAGGAAAAGGAGCATCAAAGAGATAAGTACACCGCGAACCCACCCATTTTATTCCGTCACAAAGATTCCACTCTACTGTTTCAGTTGCAGTAAAATTTCTGTTCCTGTTGTTCTACTATCTTAGTTTCTTTTTAAAAAAGTAGGAAAGAAAAGAAAATCAATTGCTGCTTCTAGTGTCTTAGATTGCTTCCAATTCCCTCCAAATAGAAAATGGAAGTATTGACAATTCTGAGTAGTTTTGCTGGACTGTTAATCGAAGGGGGAAAGTGTTTGAGCAGGGAGATCGGTTATTTTATTGATTACAAGGAGAATAATGATGAACTTAAAACACAAATGGAAGATTTACTGGCAAAAAGGAGGGATATAAAAAAATTTGTGGAAGCAGCTCTTATGAGAGGAGAGGAGATTCGAGAAGCAGTGGGGCATTGGACGAGAAGTGTAGATAAGATTGAAGAAGAAGTGATAAATTTTCATCATGATTTTGAATCTGTGCAGAATGATGGGAAATGTAGGATTGGATGTTGTCCTGCTCGTTACATTCTGGGTAAAAAAGCTATAAAGAAGTTAACATATGTTAGCTCTCTTATAGAGAGAGCACCATCACCTTACCAGGTCTCAATTCCTCCATCTATACCTAGGTCTGTCACAAGTGCAATGGGAGATCTCATGCCCCTTGAATCCAGAAGTTTGGACAGAAACAGTGTTATGGAGGCATTGAAGAATGAGAATATCCATATGATTGGGGTGTACGGTATGGAAGGAGTTGGTAAGACTACTCTGATTAGGCAAGTTGGAAAGCAGGCTGAAGAAGAAGGAGTTTTTTATCATGTTGTGGTGGTAGTCGTCTCTCAAACTCCAAACTTGAAAAATATTCAAGGGGCCATTGCTGAAATGCTAGGTTTAAAATTGAATGAGAACGATTCCATAGAAATAAGAGCAAACACGTTGTATACAAGGTTAAAGCAAGAGAAGAGTGTCCTAATAATCTTGGATGACCTTTCGGAAAGAGTAGACTTATCTCATATAGGAATTCCCCATGGAAACGAGCACAAGGGTTGCAAGGTTCTACTCACCACGAGAGACCAAAATGTATGCCATGCCATGGGTAGGGAGGATAGTCAATCAATGAAGACCATTGAGCTTGGCGTCTTATCAGAGCAAGAGGCTTGGGCTCTGTTTAGATGGAGCACAGGTGAGGTTGTTGAGTCTCTTGAGTTGATTGTTGTAGCAAGTGAAGTTGCCGCACAATGTCGGGGTCTACCCCTAACGATCGTTACACTTGGAAGGGCATTACATGGTAAGCAGGAGATAGGAGCATGGGAGCATGCAGCTACAGAACTGAAGAATTCTAAAGCTACAAACATCAAAGAAATGGAGAGATCAATAGTGTATTCATGTATAAAGTTTAGTTACGAGCAGCTACCAAACGAGGAAATCAAGCAGTTGTTCTTGTTGTGTTGCCTGTTTCCAAAAGATCATAATATCAGTGTAGAAGAAGTGGTGGAATATGGGATGGGAGAAGGACTTTTTGAGGATATAGACATGCTGGATGAAGCAAGGGGGAAAGCACAGAGGATAATCAACAACTTAAAAGATTGTCGCTTGTTGTTAAATGGAGATGAAAGAAAAGTAAGCTACCTAAGATGTGGTCTTGACAGAGAGATAGGTCATGTGAGAGTGCATGAAGTTGTTCGTGACATGGGCATATCAATTGCATCATCATCATCATCTGTAGAAGAAAGACAAGAGTTGAATGGATGGCCTCCAAGCAATAACAAAAGGGAGTCAAAAGATGAGCATGTTAGAAGAATGTCACTGATGCACAATCAAATATTGGAACTCCCCAGTCAATTGGAATATCCACAACTCCAGACCTTGTTGATGCAATTCAATTATATGTTGGAGGAAGTGACAATCCCAGATACATTCTTTGAAGGAATGGCAGCACTTAGAGTTTTGGGTCTAACTAACAATGGTTATATGCCGGTACCCATGTCATTGTATTCCTTGACCAACCTTCGAACACTTCGTTTGCATTGCAAGAAAACAAGTAATCTATCTGGACTCAGAGAGCTAAGAGAACTCCAGATACTTGTGCTTACAGTTACATCTGATAAAGAGCATATGTTGCCAAAGGAGTTGGGACAACTGACCAACCTAAGATTGTTGGATTTTCAATGCAACAACAATTCCATAACAATTGCACCCCAAGTGATATAAAATTTCTCCATGTTAGAAGAACTGTGCATAAAAGCTTTGGATAATAAAGTTGATTGGGAGAAAGAAACAAGCAGAGAAATAACAAGTGATGCAAGTAGTAGCTTTGCTGAGATAACATGTTTGCCTAATTTAACTGCTTTAGATGTCTCTATGCCAGAAGCCAACTGCTTACCTCAACATGTCAATACTCTTCCCAACTGGACAAGATTTCACATACACATAGGCTTCAGTTTCATTTTTGATGATGACATCCCTATAAAATTGAAAATCTCAAGATCCATGACCCTCTGTAATACAGAGATCAGCACCTTACCAAATTGGTTCAAAAGGGTGGTGTTATCAAAGGCAGAGGCACTATTGTTTTACAATGTGTCCAACCAGGATGTGAGGAAACTATTTGTAGAATCTGATTTTCAACTGTATTTGTCTAAATGTGATTTGAAGATACTTGTTGTTCGATACTGTGACGGCATAAAATCTCTCTTGAATGTGATGGAATTGGATTCAGAATCAAAAGAAATTGCGCTCATGGACAATTTGGAAGAGTTGCATCTCAAGAAACTGGAAAATTTCAGACGTATCTGCCATGGTCAACTTCCAAATGGGTCATTCAAGAAATTAAGAATTTTGAGAATCAACAAATGTGATAAACTGAGGAGTCTCCTCTCCCCTTCTCTGGCTCGAAGTCTTTCTCAATTGGAAGAAATTGAAATAAAGGATTGCAAGGTACTGAAGGAAATCATTGCGAAGGATGCAGAGATGGTACAAGTAGAAGAAAAGATTGTGTTCCCTCAATTGAAGATTATAAAGCTTTGTTATTTGAAGAACATCACGAGTTTCTACCTTGGAAGTGCTCCCATTGAATGCCCATCATTGGAACAGGTAAAAGTGTATGAATGCCAAAAAATGAAGGTTTTTGCTTCAAGGCTCCAAAACACACCAGAACCAAAGCTAATTGAAGGAGGGGATGGAGATTTGAAATGGTATGAACGTGATGTAAACAATGCCATGCAATTCCAACATGAGGTGCGTGCATCTATCAACATTTATTTTATTTTATCACATTGGGTTTGTGCGGCTTATTGGTTAAGGTTTATTGTGTTTGGGACTGGGGAAATCAATTTTTTGAATATTAGGTTAAGAAAAATTATATGATGCCAGAAGGCTTTGACCGATCAAAACCCCTCATGAATTTTGATGAAAACGCACACTTTTATGATGCAATCTGATTTGATTTCGACATTGTAGTTGAAGTTTTGAACCACAGATGAATACTGCTTACAACATATTGTCTAGAAAGTATTCGCAAGTTTTCTCACAATTGATTGAATCGTCCTTACCGTCAGTATCTACTAACGGGAAAATGAAAAGGACTATTTTATCCACCATTCTTCTTTAAATTTTCAAAATGAAACATTTGACACCTTATTCTTATTGAATGCTATGTTCATGTGTATCACCTTGTTTTCTCTGATCAGTTTTTACGTATATGGAGATTATTTTGCCGATTGGTAAAACCCCTAAGGAATCATTTGAGAGAGAAAGAGGAAGGTATCAAAAACCAGTTAGATAAACTGAAAAAAGACTGGCTAGCGGATGCTGAGCTCGTAACGCTAAGCTCATTGAGAGACAAAGAAGCCTTAAATGCCGAAAGATGGAGCACAGCAGAGTCGTGGGTGGATGAAGTTGAGCATCATCTCATCAGAATAGGCCTGTTAAGACCTGAAGAAATCCCCAACATGCAAGTAAGTCATTTAATTTGAGACCTAAGATTCTCATCATATTATCAATTTATATGGATCAACCCAAAAGTTTTATTTAGATAAAAACAGCAGTGGTATCAAATACAACCCTAATCAAATAGCTAGAAAATACACCCATCACCCATGCAACGATGTTTGTTGATAATATTAGGGCCATATAATTATTTCTATGTTAATTCATATACCCAATAACCTTCTTTCTATTTTGACTTTCTTCTACTGCGTTCAGTTCTTCAGGACCATGGAATTACTCTACCAACTGATACGACCTCTCGTGCATTTTGTGGGATTGAGATACCATAAATTACAAGAACTGATTCAGGAACTAAGTAAGCTAAAAGAAAGATGGAGAAAGGATCCTCAACTCCGGAAGTTAGTAAGCTCGTCATCATCAGTTGGTGAACCCACCAGCTCCATCAGATGGAAAATAGCTGAACGCTGGAAAGGCGATTTTGAGCGTCATCTTGGTAGTTCCGGTTTATTGCCAGTTGTTGGATGCACGACAGAGCGTATCCGAAAAGTAAGTCACATGACCTGGCCCACATGACATGTAAAGTAGTAAAGAGAGAAAAGATTGGCTAAAGGGTTAGACTATTATATAATTTGTTTGTGTGCATGAAAAATGAAAAATCGAATTGAGAAAATCGAACTGTAAAATGTGGTTAATTGAACTTAATTTGAAAATTTTGAAATATTGAAGGATTGATTCAGTTCGGTGTTTAATCGAACTGAATGTATTTTTAATATATGTCACATAAATATATACTTATATTATATTTATAATAATCTATTTATAAATATATTATATATTTTTAAAATATTTATAATATAATATTATAAATATATTTATATAATATATATTATAAATATAAAAAACCAAAGAATCGAACTGGTCAAAAACTGAAACCGGCGGACCAATTAACCGGTGATATCGGTTCAGTTTCGGTTTAGAGAAATAAAAAAAAAACGATACCACTGATTCGATTTGCAAAAATTACCCAAAATTCGATTAACCAAAAAATGGACACCCCTAATGACAAGTAGGGGTTATAGCATGGCTTGGGTTTATTGTGGACCGAACCGTATACCAGACCTGAATACAAAGCCTAAGCCCAAGTCTGGAATTTCTGGGCCGGTCTGAAAATTAATACCCTACCGAAGAAGACTATCTTGGGATGCATCTGTTGGCTGTTTTTGAGAGAGAGTCTATCTTCAGATGCATGCCCCAACTTAAATATTTGACATTTATACATACATGAAATAACCCCAATTGCCCTTATTATAAACTAAAACAATGGAAACAACATTGCCCTCATTCAAAACCGTGATTCAACCAATCACCAAAATGATTTTAAGAAATTATTACTTGAGAAACTAACAGATTAATAGTCTACAACTAAACATATTATCTAAAATTCATCATACCTTTTTTAAATTTCTCTTAAATTCGTCCTGATTTTTCAAAACATCGATAGAGATCTTATCAGTGAATTTTATTGTGCAAAACTCACCTTCTCTTATGCTTTCCTTTAGATCATTGTTATGACCATTAATAGAAGTTGTTATGTAAGCATTTAAATATTTTAATAACCAAATTATTCCTAAGACGGGCTTGAAGTGTTAGACTTAGGCCCAACTCTAAAATTTGTAAGGCCTAGTGTGAGCCTTGGCCTAGGTTAGGCGCATAAAAGATTTAATAAGCTTGATTGGCCATTAAGGGTAGTTTGGTCATATAAAATACTTAAATGATTACATGGGAAACTTCTATTAATGGTCATTAATAGTAAAATTCACTGACAGAGGGCACTTAGGAGGTTTTGATTTTTGAAAGTTCACGATGAATTTAAGAGAAATGTGAAAAAAAAACACATGATGAGTTTTAGATAATTAATATCCCTTCTATTTAAATATTAACTTATTTCAAACAAATAAAACATTAACATTTAACAATTTTGTTTTCTAACTTTGGTTGCCTTGGTTTTATTTCCTCTATTTCTAACAATGATTCTTATGTTTCAGTTCTTCCAAGTTATGAAATTGTTTGTAAAAATGGACCCTCTCGACAATTATTTGAACTGGAGATTGGGCTGGGATCCCAAGCTCAAACAAATGGTAAAGAATTGCAGTAAGGAACTCGAACATCATTGGGTTATGGACCCTGAGCTCATGACATTAATCTCCTCTCCAAAAGAAGGCTTACGGGAAAAGAAAAAGAATATAGCAGAACGCTGGCGGGATGAGTTCAAGCATCAAGTTATTAGCCTTGGACTGCTACCAGATGGAGACACGCCGGAGCACATCAAGGAGGTAAGTCATCAGTTGGCCCAAATCTAACATTTGAACATCTGATCATGGAAATTGCAAACCTACCAAGGAGGTCCCACCATTTGAGATTAGTTTATGGGTAAAATATATATAAGAACCTCTCTTGAGGTTCCTTACAATAATAAGAAAATAAAAAATAAAAAATAAAAAAACCTCCCTTTAGTTTTGAAAAACCCTCCACTTACCTCCCTATTATTATTGTCTTAGGTCATTACCAAAACATGAAACATTATTGTCTCCATAACAAAGATTTTGAAATTATTATTGCCTAGGATGGGCTGAGGGCAACAATGTAATTATGCTTATGAGATAAGGGCTTGCTGATATATCCGAGGCTTTGTAGAGTCAAAGGCCTATAAGTCTAATGTCAGAGGCCCTGGGTGTTATCGTAGGGGCGGAGATTCTGACGGTTAAATTAGCAAGAGAGAAATAAGTAGTTGGATGAGGCCTGAGTTAGAATAGGTCAGACGAGGTCAGTAGGGAGTTATAAAGCTTAGAGTAATAAATGCCAAGATGGGGATTACCTCATAGTGATGCCACCTATTTATACTTGAACTTGCCTGGAATTAGTTACGAGTAGACGGCTAGGATGCAATCCACCTTGTGCCACGCGTTGCCATCCTAGGTCTGCCATGTGCCGCCCACGTCATTGGGCCTGCCATGTATGCCTACATCAGAAATCACAAAATTACCCTTACTACTTGTTAAAAAATCTTTCAATATAATCAAAATGCCAAATTTAGACTTTTCAGATATCAGTCAATCATTATAACTTATCACTACTTTACTCCTTTCAATCTGACCTAAAATTTCAAAGAAACATTTTAGTAAATCTCCATCTAAATTGATAGAAATAAGGGTAAAATGAAGACTTTCAAAAAACTAAAGCACTAGGCCAACGCTTTTCTAGCTGGGAGAAAGATAATCGCAGGATTTTTAAAAACAACAGGGAGAAGGTTTTGTTAAAATTAAATGAAACTTGAGGGGAATTTTTAATATAGTTAGAAACCTGGGGAGGAGTTTATATGGTAGCCAGCTGCCTTTTTAAAAAGACTGTGTTGCTTTAATTTGTTGTCATTCACTTTAGAATTTTGATAATTATATACGTTCTGTGCTTTCAGCTCCTGCGGGTTTTAGATTTATTACGGCCAGTAATGAAATCTTTCTCAAATTATCTACAAGATCCCCACATCAATCCAGCGGTAAAAGAAAGACTCAAGAAACAAGCAGCAGAACTCTTGAAACAGTGGGAAGTCGATCATGAGCTTATCACTCTAAGCTTATTACCAGATGACGACTTACAAAAGCCGATGAAACGGAGGAGCATAGCTAAGCTTTGGCAATCTGAGTTTAAGCTTCACTTTAAAAAGCTCCAGCAAGACCTTCAAAGCTCAGATTACTTGAATATATGGGAGACATTTGACGATTTCACTGAAAAGGTTGGTCACTTCATCCCACCTGTCATTTCATGCATGGAGGTAGAAATTAAAGAAGCCTAACCGGTTGAGAATTTGATATTCACTTTTACTTTTCCTTTTATTTCCCTGGCTCACTTACATTCTCATGAATCTCATTAGTTGAGATTGACATTTTTCCTGTTCTTTTCTTTGACTTTTTCTCCATTTATTTTCCCTCTTATTATCTATTCAACAAGTAGGGGTGGTCGGACTTGAGCCTGGCCCAACTCAGGGTCACCCAAACTTATCAACACGGGCGCAACCCAAAAGCTTAACACAACACAATTAGAGCCCGGATCAAGCTTGACTTGGGCCGGGCTGGGCTTACTTAGGTTTGGGAGGATTGGTCAAATTTGAAAGAATTTATAAATATATTTTTGTATAGTTATTTTTTATTGGGACTTATAATCCCGACTTAAGGATAGAATTGATTAAAAATATATACAATTTTCACTTAAAAAAGTACATATACATATTTTTTTTACATATATACATGTATACAATTAGAAAAGAAAATTATATATAAGTCACATGAATGTACGTATTTGTTTTGGGGGACTTAGATTGGGTCAGGCTCATAATTTTTGACGTAGGCCCAGCCTGAAGACCGTAAAAATAAATATTCTAAATAATGGAATATATGCTGATGATGGGTTGAGATAAGGTCTTGCATTGGTTCACCATTAGCAATACATACATATAAGAACAAATCAAAATGACATATGGTATTAAATTTTGTTTTAGGATTTTTAGAGGGGGGAAGTTGGTCAATGGGATTTTGGTTCCCATTGATAAAGAATTAATCCATGTTCTTTCTCTAGGTTTATGTGGGGCCAATAGAAATTTTATTTTCCCTGAGTATCACTTACCCGAGTAGGTGATACCAATCTACCAAGTGGATAAATAATTTTCCCATCTTGGAGGAAAGTTGACAACACTTGGATGGGACAACATTGCCCCTTTTAATAATGGATTTTTATAGCTAAAACGGTAACTAATTTTTACCCGGATAAATAACTTATTGAAAAGCAAATGGGGCCTAAGTTTAAATTTTTAAATCACCTTTTAAAAGTTTGTACCTTTTGGATTAAATTAAGATAAGAAATAAAAATATAAACTATGAAATTTATTTTAACTATTCATTAATTTTATTTTTTTGTAAGTTATACATCAACATGTTATTGGATTTTTTGTGATGCCCCAGCTACATATATCTAGGTGTTTCCACCATATCCAAGTAGAGGTGTAAAACTAGCCAGCACGGCACGACCTGCCTGTGGCCTGCGGGCCGTTCTGGAACATACCGCCCTCCCTAGGGATAATTTGGGGGGTCGGCCTGGCATGGCCCATGACACAATCTTGTGCATGCTCATGATGTGCTATGCCATGCCGTGGGCCTGGGCGGGGTGGGTTGTAGGTTGTGCCAAGATGGGCCATAGGTCGGGCCTTGGGCGTGGGCTGATCTAGGCCAAATTGGTTTTTTTCTTTTGTTTTTGACATTTTTTATTTATTTTTTTATTTCTTTGCTAAGTAAAACTAAAATATTTAACTATCTTTTGTGGGCTATTTGAAAAAATAAGAAATTTAACAAAGAAATGAAAAAAATACTTAACTAAATAGGAAGTCAAACAGATAAAGACTTAAAGTGAATAACAAATTGAAAGAAAAATGGGAATTTTATTTCATTTAAATTTGAATGATACAAAGCATACAATGGTTGGATGAATGAAATATGAAAATTGGAAAATTGAATAAATTAATAAAATATAAAAATACAATATAGTTACAAATTGAAAATAAAAAATTACATTATTAAAAAAATATCAAATAAATTAAATAAAATTAAACAAAATTTACAATAATTTGAAAAAATGCTATAAAACTATTGAGTATACAAAAAATATTTACTTCATCATTTTCTTTTATTGTTCTTAACTTTGATCATCTGCTTCAGGTGAAACATTAGGTGTAGTATCATGCCCTCCTTTGTCTTGTAATCTATTTTCAGCATCTGATTAATCTTTAAAGCAGATGCACATCTCTAGACTTTCATCATTCATATAGCTTATCTTGTTGTCCAACACCCTAGGACCACTACTAAACCAAGACTCCGATGGAACTGTAAACACCGAAGGGGTTAGTAGATCATGTGCCATGGCGGCGAGAATTGGATAATTTTTTGCATGTTCACTTCACCAGGCTAAAATATCAAAATTATTTTTTCCCTCCGAGGTTATGGAAGAATCACCTAAGGTAGAAAAATTTGCTTGTAAATAAAAATTAAGTTCAATAAATGAACTTGTTGTTGAGGCAATGGATATCTGCCTCTTACTTATTAAATAAAAAAGTTTTTTTCTCTTCCACTATTGGACTCAAGTATGCAGATATACAAGTTGTAGAATTTTTATTATTCTTGTTATTTTATATTCATATAAATTATACATTTCAAATAATAAACTATTAATTTCTTCTTTTTTATTTCCAATTTCAATATTCATATTTTCATAACATGATTCAAGTAAAATATTTAAACCATCTCCTAACCCTAGTATCTAATATTGTAGCTAAGTAATGAAGAGTAGAAATGTTCTCCTAATATTTATTTTCCTTTATTTCATCAATACTTTTAAATTATGGATTCTTTCTATATTTTGCAAAACAATCACTAATCATCATTAATTGATCATCTAAATTACAACTAATTGGGTAATAAACACCCGTTAATTGATTAGCTGCACCATAAAAATGTTTTAAACGATCTCTTAGAAAAATTGCCATTTCTTAGTCTTCCTCAAATATAATATCAGTAAGCATTTTTGCATTATAGAAATCACTAAGAATTTGTTTGTGAGAAATACATCTTTCTAACATAGAATAGGTAGAATTTCATATATGTTTAACATCTAATATAAAATGTTTATATTTTAAACCATCATTTTGATATAAATATTTAAATTCCCATTTTCTTGCTCCACAACCTTTAATATATATAATCCAATTTCTAATTTTAGAAATATGAGTAAAAATAATATCTAAAGCATCCTTAATACATAAATTTAAGATGTGACATGAACATCTGATATGAAATAATTTACCATTTAAACATGATTTTAATTGAAAATTTAAAATATTTATTGTTGAATCATTATTACTAGCATTATCAAAACTAATAGAAAATAATTTATTGTCAATTTCATAAGCATGTAAAGTATTAAAAATACTTGTAGTAATAATTGAGCTAGTATGTGGCCAATAAAACCTAATAAAACTTAAAAATTCATTTATTTAAAAGTCAATTTTTATCAATAAAATGATCGGTAAGACAAATATAACTTATGTTAAATTTAAAGCCCAAATATCAGAAATAATTGCAACTTCAAAATTAAGATTTGATAACATATATATTAAGTTTTGTTTATATGAATAAAAAATTTTTTAAGCATAAGATCTAATAGTATTCCTAAATATTTTTTTAAATTGTCGATTTATAGAATTACGTAACCATTTTTAGTATATTTGGCTAACAAAAATGGTTAGTTCAGCATGTACAATGTATTTTGCTAATTCTTGCCTCATTTTTTTCTTGAGGATATTTAAAAGTACCAACCCCCCCACCCAATTTGTGTTTGTGTTTCTTCTTCTTCTTCTTCTTCTTCTTCTTCTTCTTTCTCATGGGTGAACAAATGTCTGGCCAAATGTCCAGTACCACCCTTGCTATAATAGCTAAAATTTTTCTTATATTTTTGAAAAACAACTCTTTTTCCCTTTTCGTGAACCTCTTCTACTTTAAATATTTTCCAAACCAGGCAGACATTTAGAATTAAGATTTGATAACATATATATTAAGTTTTGTTTATATGAATAAAATTTTTTTAAAGTATCAGATCTAATAGTATTCCTAGATACTTTTTAAAATTGTTGATTTATAGAATTACGTAACCATTTTTAGTATATTCAGCTAACAAAAATGGTTGTTCAGCATGTACAATGTATTTTGCTAATTCTTGCCTCATTTTTTTCTTGAGAATATTTAAAAATACTAACCCCCCCCCCCCGCCCAATTTGTGTTTGTGTTGTTTCTTCTTCTTCTTTTTCTTCTTTCTCATGGGTGAGCAAATGTCTGCCCAAATGTCCAATACCACCCTTGCGATAATAGCTAAAATCTTTCTTACATTTTTGGAAAACAACACCTTTTCCCTTTCCTTGAAACCTCTTCTACTTTAAAAATTTTCCAAACCGGGTTGTTTAACTTAGTGGCCTTCTTTTTCTTTCCCCTAGTATCAATACTAGGGTGAAAGTTCTATCAATATCAAATAGCATCCATATCAATGCCAACACTACCATGCTATGATTGAATATCATTGACAATGAACATGTTGGGGAAATGAGTTCGGGAGGAGCCAGCCATTTTTTTAAATTCTAAAAAATAAAAATTAATTTAATTGCAATTATCTGAATTGTTGGTTTGGAAACCCAACTTGATTTCAACGGTTAAAGTCTTTCAACTCCAAGAGTCCAAGCCTCCTAAATTGTTAACTTGAGATATTTGAACTGTTGAGCAAGCCTTCTTCTTGTTAGAACTTGAGAGAGTGTAAGAACTAGAAAAGAAATTAAGAGAATTGTTGAATTGGTGTGATGAAAATGGTAGAGGGTAGGGCTATTTATAAGAATTGAAAATAATTCAATTACCCAAAATACCCTAAAAACTAGTTGTTTTATAGTTGTTAGGAGGGGTATTTTGATTATTACAAAGTTATTTATCACTTTACACAAAAATGCCCCCCAAACTAGTTGTTATATGGATGTTGGGGGGCATTTGTGTTATTCTCCCCCGAAAACCAAAATACATAAATACCCCTTGTAAACCCCCCTCTAAAAAAAATGATAAAACTAGCATTAGGTGGGTCGAGCACAGTCTGCTATTGACCCGTGCGCCATGTCGTGGGTTAGGTCGTGTCGGCACGTGGGCTGCAGGTGCCATACCAGCTCATGGACCTGGAACCCCAAGCCCAACACGGCCTGGACCATCATATTGGGTCTGG